ATTATGGTTTCAAATGTTTGTTTGTAAGAATTTATGGGTGAAGTTTTGGTTTGACTTATTAGTTAATGAGTTCTCATTAAATTTGTTGACTGACAGGTGTTAACTTATCAGTTTTTAGTTAGGTCTGGTTTAATTCCTGACCCATTAAATTTATTGGCAATCTTTCATTAAAACTTCTTACCAGCAATCTTTGGTAGATTATTAAGTGTTTTAATCGTTGAGAAATAGGTTCTAGCCTTGACGCATTCTTATTAGTTTAATGAGTTTTCAATTATTCTATCGCCTGACGGCTGTCATTTGAATAGAACGCTACACTAAAAAATGTTAGGGTACAAAAACTCACAGGGGTAAACCATCCAGTATATTCTCAGCATTGCTGAGAAGAGGTTTGGCAAAATGGGCTTATCATCCAAGTTTGTAATATTTACACTGCTAATGGCCTACTTAGGTCGAGGTACCAGTGAAGATCGGCATCTCGGATTTCTCAACCGACTTGTTCAAAAAATGCAACACGAAGAGCCAATTGAAACCATGTTAATATTGCAACATAACCGAGATGAGGACTGTGCACTCCGAAACTGGAACCATCGTGAAATACCCACTCTGCGCTTCAACCAACTGAACGTTGTGGAAATCAGAAAGCTTTTCAACCATGTGGCTGTGGGTGTTGTCTGCATCTGCAAGGATTCCGATACAACGCTTCTAAAAAGCCTGGCCCAAAGCTTTAATAGGATGCGACAAGGACGAATTATCCTGTGGCTTCAGGCTAAACTCACCCAAGAGATGCTTAATGTGATTGCTAATCAAGCAGAGGAACATCAATTTCTTCAAATGCTCATCTTAGAGGTTAGAGACAACCCAGAGGAAATAGTAGCTGTACGACGTCTTCATCCTTTTCCCACTGCACATTTTCACCGAATCGATAGCATATTCTACCACAAGGGACCCATTTTCCATCCGCCCGAGATGAACTTTAAAGGAAGGACCGTTAATCTGCTGCCTAATTGGGGCGCAGCCTTTAAAATCGAAGTCACATTGCCCTCCAAAGTATCTGTTCCCATAGTGCGAATTCAGGACTTTAAGGTTCTCGAATTTGCTCATAAGTACAATTTGAGCTTCAGAGTTTTGGATAAGTTGACATCATCTATAGTTCCTGACATTCAACTAATAACTCATATTCATACCCAAATGGACCAATTGAAAACTTGGAACCCCTATGACATATCGTCGGTGATCGTAGCCGTTCCTTGTGGCAAACAGTGGAGGCTCGACGAAGTTTTCCAGCACCTCGACGTTCACTCAGGGCTGCTTCACATTTTTGTAGTGTATGGAATCTTTGTGCTGGCGGAGACCTTTATACTCGCTGTAACCTTTAGGATATCCGGCAAAGCTTACCGATTGACCTCCCTCAATCCTCTGCTAAATCTTCGTGCTTTCCGGGCAATTTTGGGCATGTCGTTTCCCATAAGTCGCAGATCAAGTCTTTCGCAACGTCAACTTTTCCTGGCCATAAGTGTTTTTGGATTGATCTTCAGCAACTTCTTCAGCTGCAAACTGAGTGCACTACTCACAAAGCAGTCCGCACATCCGTGCGTTAGAAACTTCGATGACTTACGCGCCAGTGGATTGAACGTTATTGTAGGACCGACCTTTCAATCGTTCGTTGAAAGTAAAGCTGGATCTGATTTCGTTAAGCACAACCTGACCAACGTAAAATATATGAAACAGCAGGACCGTATTCTAGCGATGCTGTCTCCCAACAACAGCAACGCTTACCTTATGTTCTCGGAGAACTGGAGTGTTTTGGATAAGTATCAGAAATTATATGGAAAAAAGCTGTTATGTACCTCCGAATGTCTAACTATCAGCCAAGGTCTGCCTATTACGTATATTCTCAGGAAGAACTCTATATTGGAACGAAGCATGTTCAGGTTCTCGATGCGGTTGCACGAGAATGGCATAATGGGGCATTGGATAAATCTAATGCCCCATATTATTAAAAATAAGCTGAACAGCACAATTTCGCGACACACAGAGACGAGGAATATACCTTTATCCTTTGGTCATTTTAAATGGCTATGGTTTATTCTGGGATGTGGGTATGGACTTGCAATTATTGTTTTTACTTTTGAAATTCTTCTGGCGGCTCAAAATAAAAAATCAAATGAAGATATATCTGTAGCTTAAGGACTTTACTAATTCAGTTACTTTGGTTACACCCATACGAAATTAATAAATGCAAGTAATCGTAGTAACGCTGCTACGATTATAAATTACTAAATATCGTATAAAATTAAAAACATATAAATAAGTTGTAACTTAGATTAATAAAAATAATACTTGCAAAATAAAAATCATGCTGGACTTGCAAGCACCAAACAATTTAATTCTCATTGGTGCTAAGTTTTTTTGTAAAACTTTTTTTTACCGGAATGATTTTGTTAGTCAGAAATATCGAAAATAGAAATTGGTTTTAAGCAAATTAAAAGATTGTATCAACATTTTGGGATTACTAGATAATCAAACATGCCACTGTCATCTGATTATATCAGCTTGTGGGGGAGTCACACCAAGAACTTATAAAGTATCCTGTTAGTCTTTTTTCATTCCCTTTAAAGGACGTACTTGGACTGAACTTGAAGTTTTCCCATAATGCGCTGCATTTATATAAAAATATTCCTGCTTCTTCTGCTGAGCCAGGTTTTTAGTCAGAAGGAACAGCTTCAGCAGATGAATATTCTGGATAAACTGATCAGCATAATGGAAAAAGTGAATAAAGTGGAAACAATTTTTATGCTTCAGCATCACGGAGCAAATAACTGTCTAACTGAAGGTTGGTTAGCCAGTGGTATTCCCACTTTGCGGTCAAATGAGCTAACTACCTTTGAAGTGAAGAAAACTATTAACATCTTTCATTCTTTGGCTGTGGTCTGCATAAGCCAAAAGTCTGATGTGAAGCTTCTCGATAATTTAGCGAAAACCTATGAGAATATGCGGCAAGAAAGAATACTTCTGTGGACGCAAATAAAAGCAATACAAGAAATTCTGAAGGAAATTGGTCACCTCGCGAAAAAACATTCATATTTACGGATTGTGATACTCCAAACTGGAAGTTCAGAAAACGGAACTACAAACCTGTATAAGCTTGAAGCATTTCCCGAACCACGCTTTTATAGAATTGAAAATATTTTTGATTTCAAAGGAACTTTCCAAGGTCCCAGACTTAACTTTCAAGGAAAGATGGCCATTGTTATGCAGAAAAAAAACCCTTTTCTGCATTTCAACATTAGCTATGGACGTGTGGGTATATTTTGCATTTCTACCGAAGAAGATTGGCAGATTCTTGAGTTCGCTCGAAAGACCAATTTGAGTTTGAAGCTTAATCAGGCCAATGGATTGAGTCCTGACCACTTTGACTTGCAACTGAGCCCGCGTCTCGTGTCCAAATGGGATGTCAGCGAAAGTGCCAACTCCTTCACAGTTGTTTCCCTGATCGTGGTGGTGCCCTGCGGCAAGGAGAGAAGCATTCAGGATGTTTTTAACCATCTGGACTTCCTTGACTGGGTTACGTACATCCTGCCTGTCTATGTCGCTTTTGTGATAGTGGAGAGCCTTATATGCATGGTCACTAGTCGGGTGGAAGGACGACCTGAGCGACTTTCCTACCTAAAACAATTAATAAACCTTCGTGCATTTGGTGCCATTTTGGGCCTCTCCATTTCCGTACACCGCCGATGGAGCTTCACACGACGCCAGCTCTTCTTAACCCTCAGTATCTTTGGATTTGTTTTCAGCAATTTCTTTTCCTGCAAGCTGAGTGCTCTGCTAACAAAACACTCCCGATATGCACAGATCACGAACTTCGAGGAACTGCGAGCCAGTGGTCTTCCTGTCTTGATAAGTAACAATCTTTTACACTACATCAAAGACGAGTTCGAAGACAATTTTATAGAAAAAACTGTACCAAACGTCGTTGGTGTCAACGATCTGGATAAAATGAAAAAAATATTAGCGTTAAACGACAGTTTTGCTTACGTTATGCATGAAGACACTTTTGGCATTCTCAAGGGATACCAAAAAGCACGGGGACCCAAGGTTTTCTGCAACTCTAAAAATCTGACCATTATCTCGAACCTACCCAGAATGTTTTATCTGCCAAGGAACTCCATGTACAAGTGGCCACTTCGGGATTTTGTTTACAGAACACATGCAGGAGGCATCAACATGCGTTGGAGAACAGAATTTATGAACAAGCTTGAAAAACTGTATAATATATCAAAGGATATAGGTCCTCCACATGGAGTCACTCCTCTCTCTTTTGAACACTTGAACTTTCTATGGTTTCTTCTGATATTAGGATATGGAATTGCCACACTGGTGTTTTTCATTGAGATATTTTTCGGAGGAAATACAAATTCAAAGCCTAAGAACGATGCCTCAATACCGTAGTATGGTGCAAAAAAAATCGAAAAGATCGTGTCTTTAATATTTTTAATACATCTGCTTAACTTATATAAATAATATCACTTAATTTTTGCTGAATGTTATAACTTATAAGAGTTACGTACCAACAAATAGTATGTTTTTCACTTTATTCAAAGATAAATTTTAATAAAAAAAACTATTTAATGTCTTTGTTTTTGGATTTGGTGTTTTTAAAAGGCTTGTAGAAATATCTGGGTAAACATTAGTTCTCATTGGTCATTGCTTGGTTTGACTTATTAGTTAATGAGTTCGCAATACATTTATCGACTGTCAGCTGTCAACTTATGAGTCTCACAAAGAAAAAAGTGCAATTTCTAGTTGGGTCAGGCTAAACTCATGGTCAGTTTATTCCCTTCTCTGCATAAAAGTACTAGTTCGATATGGGGAAACCTTCTACACTCACAGGGATATTATTATTATTAACGTTTTTAAGTGAAGGTACGTTTGTGAATCCGCAGCTGGGATTTCTCAACGACCTTCTACAAAAAATATGTCATGAGGAGGAAGTTATGACGATGTTTCTGCTGCATCACAATGAGTCCAGAAGCTGTGCCCTTCATAGCTGGCATCACCAGGAAATTCCCACTTTGCGATTTAATCAACTGGCCATAGCAAGTATAAAGAATCACTTCAACCATCATTCGCTAAGTATAGTCTGCATATGTAAAGATTCCGACACAATTCTTCTCGATACTCTGGCCGAAGACCTTGATAGAATGCGACAAGATCGGATTATTTTATGGATTCAAATGAACGTCAGTGAGCAGCTTCTTCATACGATTTCAAACCAATCCGAGGAATACAGTTTTCTGCAAGTCCTCATCGTGGAGGCGATAGACAGCCTGGAGCAAAAAGTGACTACATTCCGGCTACATTCTTTTCCCAGCCCACACTTTCATCGCATTGAAAACATATTCGATTTGAAGGGCTCCATTTTTTCGTCTCTAAGGAACAACTTCAAGGGAAGAATGGCAACTCTAGAGCCAGCTTGGAGATCAGGCCTAAAATCCTACAAATGGCTGACCTCTAAGGTTAGAGTTCCAATAGACAGAGCACAAGACAATATTATCCTGGATTTCGCCAAAAGGTATAATTTGAGTTTTAAAGTTGTGAAGGCCGCGAATAGGGAAATTAAGCAGAGCTCTTTAAGAATTCCTGACTTTCAATTCAACTCGCTGTTCAATGGAAATGAACACATAAAATATATAAATCCCTATGATATATCAGCCATAATAGTTGTTGTACCCTGCGGAAGAGAAATGCAAATTGAGGAGGTGTTCAGGCACCTGGATGTAAAGTCTTGGCTTCTTCATATTCTCCTAGTCTATGTTATCTTTGTGCTGGCGGAGACCTTCATACTCGTGGTTACCCATAGGATATCAGGCAAAGCCTACAGATTGACCAGTTTAAATCCTGTGCTGAATCTCCGTGCCTTTCGAGCCCTTTTAGGCATGTCCTTTCCCGTGAGCAGCAGATCAAGCCTCTCGCTGCGACAGCTTTTCCTGGTGATAACTGTGTTCGGCTTTGTCTTTAGCAATTTCTTTAGCTGCAAGCTGAGTGCCCTGCTTACAAAACATTCCCAGCATTCCCAGGTCAGAAACTTCGATGAGTTGCGGTCAAGTGGATTGACAGTGATCGTGGACTGGCACATCCGTTCCCTCATCGAGAACAGAGTTGAAGCTGACTTTTTTACACAAAACATAACAAGAGTCAAATTCGTGACACAGCGTGAAAAAGTCTATAATCTGCTCTCACTTGACAGCACTTACGCCCACGTAATGCTGTTGGAAAAGTACCACACTTTAAGGAATTATCAAAAATTTTATGACAAGAAGGTTTTCTGTACCTCAAGGGACCTGACCATCATCCGAAGTATTCCCAGGACATATACGCAGCAAAACAACTCCATATTTTATTGGTCTTTATTCTTCTTTTCAATTAGACTAGAAGAGGCGGGCATCGTTGGTCAATGGTCTCAGCGGGCTCCCTTCCAATTGAGATCAAACCTAAATGTAACCGTTGTGGATAATACCAAGCAAAGAATAGAATCCTTATCCGTTTATCACTTGAACTGGTTGTGGTCTATTCTTGGATGTGGATATGGTCTCGCCATTTTTGTATTTATCATTGAAGTTTGTCTGGGAGGTCATCATCGTTGGACATGGAACTCGCGAGCCAGGAACCATATTTTTGTAGTCTAATAATATTAGTTATACCTTCATACATTCTTATATTTAGTTTAATGATCGAAATAAAATGTTGGTATATCAAGTATTTTTAAATTTTAGATAATTTAAATAATTCTATAAATGAAAAATAGTTTTATCAAACTTTTTAAAATAATCAATCATTAAAAGCTTTTATTAAACGCAACTTGCCTAGAATCTCACATTAAATATATGTATCGTAGTCTATATATGTGAATTAATTAACAAAATAATTTTCGTTAAGTTTGGAAATTAATAAATCCTGTAGAAGGATTATATAATTAGAATGGAATTTTTTGACCAGCACTGTAATATTGATTAAAAAGTTCTTGCAGTTTAATTTTGGTAAATGATTAAGTGATTTAATCGTGGAGAAATACAACGCATTCTTATTAGTTTAATGAGTTCTCATTTATTCTATCGCCTCACGGCTGTCATTTGAATAAGGCACTCCATTAAAGAATTTATCATAGAGCAATTCACAGGGATAGCACAAGCAGTATATTCTCCTTATTAATGAGTATCATGGGCCTAAGTTTTCAGCGAGCTCGTTTAAAAGATTCAACACGAAGAGCCAATTGAAAGCATGTTAATATTGCAGCCCTTAAAATCAACGTCACATTGCCCTCCAAAGTATCAGTTCCCATACTCCGAAATTGGGATTTAGGGTTTCTCGAGTTTACTTTGAAATATAATTTGATCCTTAGTGTTTTGGAGGATTCTTCTGTTCTTGCGATTAGATTTTCGTTTATTGTTTTTTAACCCATAGATATTTACAAGCTATTTTGTGGTAAACATACGGTTCATTGGTAACGGGTTGCTTTGACTTATTAGTTAATGAGTTCTCAATACATTTATCGACTGTCAGCTGTCAACCTATGAGTTTCACACTGCGCTAAGTGCATTTTTTAGTGGTTTCAGCTATAGTTCTTGGCCCCTTTAGTTTATTTCCTACTCTACATAAAAGCAGATATGCAAAATGAAGAAACCTTCTGCACTCAAAATAATATCATTATTATTTATGGTTTTAAGCAGAGGTACGTTTGTGAGCCCGCATCTTGGATTCCTCAACAAACTTCTACAAATAATAAATCAAGAGGATGAAGTTATGACGATGTTTCTGCTGCATCATAATGAGTCCGGAAGCTGTGCTCTTCATAGCTGGCATCAGCAGGAAATTCCCACATTGCGATTTAATCAACTGGCCATAGCAAGTATAAAGAATCACTTCAACCATCATTCGCTAAGTGTAGTGTGCATTACCAAAGATTCCGACACTATTCTTCTCGATACACTGGCCAAAGATATTGATGGAATGAGACTAGAAAGAATTATATTATGGATTCAAAGGAACGTCACTGAGGAGCTTCTTCATACAATTTCCAAACAATCCGAAAAGCACAGTTTTCTGCAACTCCTTATCGTGGAGGCGATTGGCAACCCGTAGCAAAAAATAACTGTGTTCCGCCTACATTCTTTTCCGAGCCAACACTTTCATCGCATTGAAAACATACTCAATTTAAAAGGCTCAATTTTTCCGTCTCAAAGAAACAACTTTAAGGGAAAAACTGCAACTCTACAGCCAGCTTGGAGAAAAGGCTTAAAAACTAACAAATTTTTGTCACCAAAGGTTAGAATCCCAATAGATCGAGCACAAGACAATTTAATCCTGGATTTCGCCAATAGGTATAACTTGAGTCTTAAAGTAATGCAAGCGCCGATTGGGGAATCTAACCAGAGCATTCTAAGAATTCCTGACTTTCAATTTAACTCGCTGTTCAATGGAAATCAACACATCAAGTATATAAATCCCTATGATATATCAACCATAATCGTTATCGTTCCCTGTGGAAGAGAGATGCGAATTGAGGAGGTGTTTAAGCATCTGGATCTGAAGTCTTGGCTGCTTCATATTCTTTTAGTCTATGGAATCTTTGTGCTGGCAGAGACCTTCATACTCGTGGTTACCCATAGAATATCAGGCAAAGCCTACAGATTGACCACTCTAAATCCTGTGCTGAATCTTCGCGCATTCCGAGCCCTTTTAGGCATGTCCTTTCCCGTGAGCCGCAGATCAAGCCTCTCGCTGAGACAGCTTTTCCTGATGATAACTGTGTTCGGCTTTGTGTTTAGTAATTTCTTCAGCTGCAAACTCAGTGCCCTGCTAACAAAACATTCCCGGCATTCCGAGGTCAGAAACTTCGAGGAGTTACAGACGAGTGGATTGACCGTCCTAGTGGACTGGCACATGCGGTTTCTCATCGAAAATATAATTGAAGCTGAATTTTTTATGAAAAACTTAACAAGGGTCAAATTCGTGACACAAAAAGAAAATAATAAACATCTCCTCTCCCTTAACAGCACTAACGCACACGTGTTGCCAATGGAAAAGTGGCACACTTTAAGGAATTATCAAAAATTTTATGAAAAAAAGGTTTTTTGTACCTCGAAGAACCTGACCATCATCCAAAGTATTCCCAGGACATACACACAGCGAAACAACTCTTTATTTTACTGGTCATTTTTCTTGTTTTCAATAAGACTGGAAGAAGCGGGAATCGTTGGACATTGGACCCAACAAGCTCCCTTCCGAGTAAGATCTCTCCTAAATGCAACCATTGTGCATAATGCCGAGCAAAAGACAGAATCTTTATCCGTTGATCACTTAACGTGGTTGTGGACTATTCTTGGATGTGGGCATGGACTCGCCATTTTTGTCTTTTTAATCGAAATTTGTCTGGGAGGTCATCATCGTTGGATATGGAACCCGCGATCCAGAAACCATTTTATTGTCGTCTAAAAATTATAGTTATGTATACCTACATATAATGTTATATTTAGTTTAATGATCGATAGAAAATGTAGGAATATCAATTATTTTTAAATTTTACAAAAATTTTATTAACTTTTTAAATGAAAAATAGTTTTGTCGAACTCCAAACTTTTTAAATTAATCTTTTAAAGCTTATATCAAATACAACTTGCTTAAAATATCACATTGAATATATGTGTCTTAGTTAAATAAATATTTAATTAATACATTATTTGATAATTCATAAATCTTGTAGGCGTTTAAAAAACACTTATTCAAAGAAAATTATATAATTATAATGGAATTTATTAACCATCACTGTAGTATTGATTAAAAACTTCTTGCCGTCAAATTTTGGTAGATGATTATGTGTTTTATTGGTTGATAAAAAAGACGCTTTCTTATCTGTTTAATGAGTTTTCATTTATTCTATCGCCTGACGGCTGTCATTTGAAAAGGCACTCCACTACAAAATGTTGTTATAGAGCACTTTACAGGGGTAGCCCATCCAGTATATTAAAAGAGGTTTGGCAACATGGTTCTACCCTCCAAGTTGGCAATAATAACCTTGCTCGTGACCTACTTAGGTCGAGGTACCAATGAAGATCAGCAACTTGGATTTCTCAACAAACTCCTTCAAAAGATTCAACACGAAGAGCCAATTGAAACCATGTTAGTAATGCAACACAATCGAGATGGGAATTGTGCACTCCGAAACTGGAATCATCGCGAAATACCCACTCTGCGCTTCAACCAACTGCATGTTGTGGAACTCAGAAAGCTTTTCAACCATGTGGCTGTGGGTGTTGTCTGCATCTGCAGGGATTCCGATACAACGCTTCTAGAAAGCCTGGCCCAAAGTTTTAACCGGATGCGTCAAAGACGAATTATCCTGTGGCTTCAAGCTGAACTCACACAGGAGATGCTTAATGTGATTTCCAATCAAGTGGAGGAACATCAACTTCTTCAAATGCTCATCCTAGAGGTTAGAGAGGAACCGATAGAGACAGTAGCCGTACGTCGTCTTGATCCTTTTCCGAATGCACATTTTCTTCGAATCGATAACATTCTCGACCTTGAAGGACCCATTTTTCTTCCGCCCGAGATGAACTTTAAGGAAAGGACCATTAATTTGCTGCCTAATTGGGGCGCTGCCTTTAAAATCAACGTGACGCTGCCCTCTAAAATATCTGTTCCCATAGTCCGAAATCAGGACTTAGGGGTTCTTATGTTTGCTTTGAAGTACAATTTGAGACTTAGAGTTTTGGAGGATTCGTATAACCTGACATCATCTGTAGTCCCAGACATTCAATTGAATACTCAGATTCATACCAAAATGGCCAATTTGAGAACATGGAACCCCTATGACATATCGTCGCTAGTGGTAGCCGTTCCTTGTGGCAAACAGTGGAGAATCGAGGAAGTCTTCAAGCAACTGAATGTGCAGTCATGGCTTTTTCACATTTTTGTTGTGTATGCAATCTTTGTCCTGGCGGAGACTTTTATACTCGCGGTAAACTATAGGATATCCGGCAAAGCATACCGATTGATCTCTCTCAATCCTCTGCTAAATCTCCGTGCTTTCCAGGCACTTTTGGGCATGTCGTTTCCGATCGGTCACAATTCAAGTCTTTCTCTACGTCAGCTTTTTCTGTCCATAAGTGTTTTTGGATTGATCTTCAGCAATTTCTTTAGCTGCAAACTGAGTGCTCTTCTCACAAAGCAGTCCGCACATCCGTGCGTTAGAAACTTTGATGACTTACGCACTAGTGGATTGAACGTAATTATAGGACCGACCATTCGAGCGTTCGTTGATAGTGAAGCTGGATCTGAATTCGTTAAAAATAACTTGACTAACGTGAAGTATATATCTCAGGAAGATCGTATTCGTATGATGCTATCTCCGGGCTACAACAATGCATACCTTCTTTTCTCGGAAAACTGGAGTGTCGTCGATAAGTTTCAGAAATTATATGGTCGCAAATTTTTATGTACCTCTGAAAATCTAACTATCAACCAAGGTCTGCCCATAACGCATATTCTGAAGAATAACTCGATGTTGGAACAGAGCCTATTCAGGTTCTCGATGCGACTGCAAGAGAATGGCATTATGAGACATTGGATAGATATTATTTTATATTCAAAACTTAACATCACGAATTTACGGAACAGCGAGCCCAGAAAAATTCCTTTATCCTTTGGTCATTTTAAATGGCTTTGGTGTGTTCTTGGATGTGGCTATGGATTTTCAATTACAATTTTCATATTTGAAATTATTATGGGGAATCGAAACAAAAAGTCAAATTCAGTTGGTTTTTAGTTAGACCCATATGAAATAATTAAATGCACTTAAACCTTATCATTAGATTAACATATTTTGGTGTTTACGTTTGTATGTACAATAAGGATGGAAATAAAATACAGATGGAAAATTTACAACGGATCTAATAAAGTATATATATTATTGATCAGCATCACTGGACGGGTCGATTTAGCATGCTCTTCATGAAACTTTACGGAATTTCTTCTATCTATACAAGTAGGAAGGAAACGAATCTTATTACTATATCCTCTAGGCCCTTTAGAAATAAACGAGAAACTAATAAATAATAATGATGAAAAATTAATGACTTTAACTGCAAGGTTACATAAACAACGGCTTTCCAAAGATTGCTTCAGGTTTTTACTATCTGAGAAATTAATTAATCCTTTCTTCGCACTAAAAATGTACACTAAATTGTACCTATGTATGTCCCAACACTGAATATAAATACAAAAGAAAATATAATTCATTAGGTTGGCCTCTTAACTTCTGAATCTAAGTGCATGCCCTTCAAATTTGACAGCTGCAATGTGCTGGCCATTAGAAAATGAAACTTTGCAGAACAGTAGAGTCACTTTTAACTCAGTTTGGTGTTAACTTTGATGGAGTAAATACAAACATAATGGCCTTGCTAGAGCGTGTAAAATTTAGGATGTTATTGATGGTAATCTTATTAATCCAAGTACCATCTGAAGGAGATGGAGATCCACGTGTGAACTTTCTAAACAAAGTCCTTTACTTTGTTCGCAACGAACGTTCAGTTGAAACATTGTTTTTACTACATCATACTGAAGATACAAATTGCATCCTTAAGGACTGGAATCCTATGGGAGTTCCAACTCTTCGTTCAAATGAATTGACTGATCTGAGCTTGGAAAACTCGTATAACCACAATGCATTGGCCCTGGTTTGCGTAACGGAACATTTTCATGGAGAACTTCTCAAAACTCTGGCTAGAGCATTTGAAGGAATGCGGCAGGAGCGTATAATTCTGTTGATTCGGCGGAAACCAGATCCAGATCTAATGCATCATATTTCTCAACAAGTTAAGGATCTAGAATTTTTGCATATGATAGTGCTGATTGTCGAAAAACAAGACTATAACGATGTTATTGCATTTGCTCTTCGTTTGAAACCTTTTCCCGAACCGCACTTCAAGAAGGTTCGCAACCTATTTACCGGTAAAAACATTTTTCCCCATTATGCTTCCTTTCAGGGAAGGGTGGCAAGTATTATACCGAATGAAGTCCAATCCGTATATAGAGCAGGCTCACAAATAATCTTAGAATTTGCTCGGAAATACAATGCATCCCTCCGATTGCAAGGGTCAGCAACTCAGGATAAGACTGAAATACCTAAGGATAACTATGACATCGACATGAACTTGCGTCTGTCCAATAGTAAGAACTTTTCGAACAACATTTTTCTGGTGGCAACACTGTCTTCAAGCTCCCTATTAATTGTGGTGCCATGTGGAATGGAGCTGAGCGGCGTGGACATCTTTAAGGAGCTCGGAATGGGGACCCTGACCTGGTCGGCTTTGATTTTTTACCTCACCTTCGCTTTGGTGGAGGCGACTTTCGTTTACATATCCAATCGCATCAATGGAACACATTTTAGCATCAGGTTTACGAACCCATTTGTGAACCTTCGAGCCTTCAGGGCTCTTTTGGGCCATGCTTTTCCCGTCTCCAACCGATCCAGTCCATCAATCCAACTTTTCCTCTGTTTAATGAGCTTTTTTGGGACACTGTTTGGCTGCTTTTTCGCCTGCAAACTCAGCTCTTTTCTGACTAAGAAGCCCCATGACTCGCAGATTGAGACCTTTTCAGAGTTACGTGAAAGTGGTCTGACCATCGTGGTGGATGCATCTACGAAAGAGTTTATAGAGCTTGAAATCAATGGTGACTTTTTTAACCACGAAGTTCCTAATGTCAGGATTACGTCATCTCTGGAATTTATTAAACTTATCGATTCATTAGAAATGAATGCCGGCTTTCTAGTACATTCCATTCCTTGGACCTTTTTTAAAGAAGTTATGAAAGAGCTGAATCGTAAAGTCTATTGTGAGGGCAAGAACTTGACGATAATAGAGAATGTGCCGTCGACGTTCTTCCTCCAAAGGAACACAATCTTTAGCCAGAAGATGCGAGACTTCATTTTGAATACTGATGTTTCAGGTTTGGGCACATACTGGATGAAATTAGCTGGCCAACAAATCAAAGCATCTATTAAAGCATCTATTAAATCATCCATGCGCGGTTTCGAGGAGCATCCATCGCATCTTCCACTCTCTTTTGATCATTTCAAATGGCTGTGGACCCTACTCGGAATTGCCTACATCATATCATTTATGGTCTTCGTAATGGAAATCTGTTGGGCTAAGAGTCATAAGCGTATGAGAAGGGGAAACATATATCCATGTTAGTACGCTAGAATAAATACGTGAGTTTCAAATGGTTTACTAAAAATTGTAATTGGAGAAATACACCTTTTGAGAATAAATTAATAAAAACTAAATACGAAATTACAAAAAAAAAAAAAAAAAATTTTTTGATAAGTTGAAATTGAAATTTGTTGAATTAATTTTGACGGGTGCTTAAAATAAATTATGGTTAAAAACTGTTATAATTTAAAACAGAAGTACATAACGTTTTTTTTTTAATTAAAAGTCAATAATTCATTTCAGTAATGATGAGGAATAATCATGATATTATTAACTTAATGGGATCCTTTTAAGCTTATAGGAACTTAATCGAAAGACAGCTGTCAATCCTTATGTTTCAATGCGCAGCAGAAAACTTTCCAGTGGAAAAACAAGAACACTTTAGTTCATCATCTTTAGTTTTCGAAAGTGGCAGTAAGCATGGACAAATTCGCCCTATTTGTAATATTAATCCTAACAGGAGTTACGGCTGAGAGGTCCCAGATCAGATTTCTCAACAAACTCATCGCAAACACAAACCAAAAAAACCCAATCAATACAATTTTGATGATAAATCATAATCGGTCGAGGAACTGTGACCTCCAAGATTGGAACCAGATAGATATTCCGATATTACGTTTTAATCAGCTGGCAAAGGTCGAAGTTAGAAGACATTTCAATTGTTATGCACTTTGCCTTGTTTGCATCGGCAAGGATTCCGACATTAGTCTACTGGAGAACGTGGCTGAAAACTTCGAAGGAATGCGACAAGAGCGAATTATCTTGTGGGTGTACACAAAGCTTACGCAGCAGCTCCTTAAAGAGATCTTGCGTTTAATTGATGAGAATCAGTTCCTTCAAATGATTGTTATAGAAGTGCAATATGGAGAAAGGAGGCCAACAAATATATTGCGCTTAGAGCCATTCCCAAGCTCTGAATTTGTTCGAGTCGAAAATATTTTGAGCTCCTCATCACCTTTCTATTTTTTTGATTGGAACTTTAGAGGCAAGAGGGCCAATGTGCTGCCTGATTTGGACAGCTCTATTAAACTTTTCGCCTGGCTTAACGATACGGTGTCAATGCCTGTAAGCCAAATCCAAGACAGTGAGATCATTGTGTTTGCCAAGAAATACAATTTGAGTCTCGTAATTATTGGATCTTCAAAGAAGGACCTTAATGTGATTCCTGACATTTACCTACATTCGGAGCTTACATCGAACGGTACAGATGTCAGAAATTTGAGCCCGTATGACATGTCATCATTGATTGTGGTAGTACCGTGCAGCAGAAAGAGGGCCATACGAGATGTCTTCAGGCAACTGAAGGTCTTGCCCCTGTTGCTATGGATTCTACCCATTTATGTCGTATTTGTGGTCGTGGAAACGTGTATTCTGATGTTAACCCATCGTTTTCGAGGGCACACCTACCGATTGACCTGCATGAATCGGCTTCTGAATCTGCGTGCCTTTAGGGCCATTCTGGGACTGCCATTTCCCATTAGCCGACGATCCAGCTTTTCACTCAGACAACTCTTTATGGCTATCAGCGTTTTTGGACTGGTCTTTAGCAACTTTTTCAGCTGCAAATTGAGTGCTCTGCTAACGAAGCACAGCCACCATCCTCAAGTAAGCAACTTCGATGAGTTGCGTGGCAGTGATTTGTCCGTAATTGTTAGACATAACATTCGCATTTATATTGAAAATAAATTCGGCTCTGAGTTCTTTGAAGACTGCATACCAAGAGCTATATTTTTGAACAATAGTGAGGTGACACGACTCATGCTCTCGTTAAATGACAAGTATGCGTATATTATGCTGTTCGAAAAGTGGACTGTGCTGGACAATTATCAAAAATCTATCAAACGAAATATTCTTTGTACTTCAAAGGACCTGACCATCATGTCGGGCATACCCAGAATGTATGTCCTGGGAAACAACTCACTGTACGACTGGCCACTTTCACACTTTTTAAGGAGAGTTCGGGAAAATGGCATCATAAAACATTGGATAAGTAAATCGACCTACTATATGAAGCAATCCCTCAATATCACACAGTTTCCAAGGTTTTCGCGAAAAAAAAATCCAATTGGCTTTCAGGATCTTATATGGTTGTGGATTATCCTTATATTTGGATATGCTTTGGCCACTCTTGCTTTTATCGTAGAACTTTTTATAAAAAAGCCAAGAGAACATTAATCGCAGACATAAAATTACTCAAAGCTTATTTATTCATCTTTTATTCTAGACAAGCACCATAATATCTGAATGTAATTGTTTCTATAAATAAACGGAATTATTAATGTTATAAATGTAATAGTAATTTATGCGTAATAAACTAAAGGACATTTTTTCTTTACTAAAACTAAAAATTACTTTTTTTTAAATTGATATTACTGATATTCCTAGGTTTACATTGTTGAGTAAGTAAAAAGCTAGTTAAGATTATCTAATCGCTTCTTCCAAAAGATCTCGCCAAGAAAGACCAGTACTGACAATGTGTAGCCCAGGATAAGCAGATACCATACCCATTTAAGTTGATCGATTGATAATGCACTTTTGTGGGCTTTCTGAAAAACGGTGATGTTGAACATCTTTTCTAGAAGTTGGGGTATATCCTTTTGCCAGTAAGCGGTGATTCCAGACTCCTGGATAAACATCACAAACCTGCTCAAGGGCCACTGAAATATTGAGTTATTTTGCAAGACATGCATTCTTGGCCAATTATCGATGACGGTCAAGCCCTTGGAGGTGCAGTAGACCCTTTCTCCCCGGGATCTCTGATAGTTATTAAAAACCTCCCACTTTTCACCAATCATAACGTAGGCGTAGCTGTCGGCCGATGAGAACATTATCTTAACTCTTTCGATAAAGGTCAAAACAATTCTCCTCGGCATAATTTTCTGTATAAACTCCGCGTCTAGTTCGCTCTTGATGAAGGAGTCCATATAGTCATCCGTGACCACAATCAATCCACTGGCTGCCAGCTCCTCAAAATTCGTCACTTGAGGTCGGTGAAAGGGCTTTGTGAGCATCGCACTTAGCTTGCAGTTTATAAAGCTGCTGAATACCATTCCAAAAATGACAATGGCCAAAAAGAGTTGGCGAAGTGAAAGGCTTGACCTTCGGGGTTCCGGAAATGACAGACCCAAAATGGCCCGAAAGGCGTACAAGTTGATTGTCTGGCGGCTTGCTTGTCCGGATATCCGGCAGGTTACCTTGAGGATGAAGGTCTCAATCAACACGAATATCACATAGACAACCATAATGTACAAAATCCACTTCTGGACACCGGATTGCTGGAGAACATCCTGAAAACTCATATAACTGCCGCAAGGAACCACAACCACCAGAGAGGAGGAGCAGAATGGATTCACAAACTCCATCCGCAGGTGTATATCTTTTTTAGTGACCAATTGAGGGTTTAATTGTATGTCGAACCTATCACTGCTTGAGTGATTCCATTCCAGTATTTTTAGGGTCACGTTAAAACTCAATGCAAACTCAATTATTTGTCTGTCTTCTATTTGGTAAATGGGCACAACTCCAGTCGGTTCAAGCTTTGACTTCAACCATTTGTTCAAGTTCGGATTCTGCCTAACCAGAGCCGTTTTTCCTTGAAAATTACACATGGGGTCGTGGAAAATTGTTCCATTAATTTTCCAAATATTTTCGATTCGGTCCATGCGAGCACTTGGTATCTGATTAAGTCGATAGAAGGATGCAATTCCTCTTGGGTTAGCCTCCAGAACTACCAGTTGTAAGAAGTGAAATTTGGTGGCCTTTCTAGAGACATCTCTGAGCATTTTCATCGTTGGTTGAACTTGTGTCCACAATATAATTCGGTCCTGTCGCATATTCTCGAAAGCCTCAGCCAAGTTGTTTAGCAGTCCGATGTGTGCACTTTCGCCTATACAGACAATGGCCAAGACTTTCCTCCTAAAGTGTGCTCTAATATTTATAGTGCTCAGATCAGTAGTCCGTAGAATGGCAGCTTCTCGAGGATTCCAGTGACGTAGAGAGCAATTGTTGTGTAGATGGTGCTGGAGTATCAAAACCGATTCGACTGGTTCCTCTTTCTTAATAATTCCGACAATTCTGTTGAGATACTTGAGCTGTGGAAACTCAGTTCCTTGAAGGAGTGCTGGACTTAGAAGAATTAGGAATAATACTCGGAATACAGGAGACATCTCTTTAAATATTCGCGTAATGTCTATTCTTTTCGATGGTTTAGACTGAACTAAATATTATTTTTAAATGGTTTTTTAGGTATTTTGTAAGTGTTGAGGTTCCAGGTTTACTATCTTTTGGAGGACAGCTGTCAGATGATGCCTTGATATAGTTTACGGTTTGACTAAGTGGTAAAGGGGATAATACTACACTTTGCTACACAAATTAATTGGAAACTTATTTGTGTGCTATAATTCGACAAACTTTGAAAATATTTAATTTTGTATTTGTTAAAATTGAAAAAGCATCAGCATTCTTATAATTTAACTTTGAAATATTAAATGCCCTTATAAGCTCTACACGGAAGACATTGCCCCATAAGCCTTGGTCATCATCAACTGGTTCGATCACCTTGCTAAGTAGTATCCATTTTTCTGGGCCACCTCGGTCCCATTGAGCAGCACTTACGCCGGTTACGTGCTCGTGCTGGCTCCAAAAATCACGCATTAGCTGCCACTTTGCACTTAAAGTCATAAATTTATTTAAATATACGGGAGGCGCAGAGCCGTATATAAAAACGCTCGAGCCGCACACACACGTTCGCCGGGCGCCGTTGTAAAGCAAAATTTATATTAACTTCATTTGGCCGGGTGGTGGTGCTCCTGCCGCTCCTGCTGCAGTCGTTGCATAACTCATACGCACCGTGGACCGTGGTGCCGTGAGCCAGCCAGTCAGTCAGTGGAAAACTGGCAGCGGCACTCCACGCCACGCCAACCAGCCATATCACCGACACAAAGCGAAGAAAGGGCCTCGAAAAATGGCAGCCAAGAGAATTTTAAATTACGCTTTTGAGTGTCGACTGAGACTGAGGCCGAAATGCAGCTGCAGCTGCAACTGCAACTGGAACTGCAACTGCCGCATCTGCTGCGTGCATTTAATTGCAAATGAAGCAAGAGGAGCGCCGCAGCCAAAGCGCTGACAATGCCAATTGCCAGCTTCAACTTCAGCCCTTTCCCCGCCAATTTCCCCACTTCCCGTCGAAAAAGCCACCCCACATGCAACGGCAAACTGCAAATGACGTTTAATCAAAGTTGTTGAAATTGATAGCATTGTTTGTAGTGCACGCGCGGCAAATGGCAAAATGCATTTTAAATTGCGCTAAATGTGTTAATTAAAGTAACCCCTCCCACGAAGCCCAGACACGAGTTTGCTTTCGCGGCCCATTGGTCGTGATTATTGTGGGGCCAAGAACGAGATCCCACTAAATAAGTGAGCAGACAAGAAGCATGGTGGCTAGGTAAAAATGCACCAGATTTGAATTAGAAAACCAGCAAGCAGCAAACGAAGTGGGTAGAGTGAGCCGGGAAAATAGCAACTTAGTTGCTGTGCCAGGCAATAAAATAAAGTCTTAGCCCGGACAGAATCTGGGGGCACTTTTAATTTGTTGTGCAACAAATTAGCATTTATTTTCATTACGATTCCAACTTGCTGGGTGTCTGCTTGCCGCCGACTTTTTCCATTCATTTTTTGTCAGCTCTTATGCGCGTTGTTTGCTTTTAATTATAAATACATGTAAGCTTTGCATTTTTAACCCAAGTTGTTCAGGGGTTTTAAGTCTTAAATGATATTAAACGTTCACCTTTTTCTACCCTTTGATATTATTATTAATATACTTTTTAAATAAAGATATTAACACCAAAAATTAAATCTAAAAAAAAGAATTATTATTTTTAATAAATCTTTAGAAAATCTTCAGAGTAAATTAATCTTCATTTAAAATTTTTATGTATGTTTAATCGTTGTATTTAAAATTATCACTTCCATTCTTTGCGACCAGTGCATAAAATTGAAGTTTTCTTTTAAACTTGAAGCACTAGGATGTTATCATTAAGTAAATAAAATAAATAAATAAAAAGGTAAAAACTATTTTAACTTCTTTTAATTAGTTAAAATCTTTCCAGTTTTAAGAACAAAATTTGATATTCTTACATACTGTTTATTTTTAAAGTAGAAATAAAAGCTATTTAAATTGTAGGTATTTAGCTTCAAATAATAGATTCTAATAATATTTACAGAATATAAAGCGCTCTAAGCCATAAACGCGGGTTATGCTCCACTGAAAATCCATTCAAACCTTCCTACTCATCCACATTATTCCACCCCATTTTTGTGCAATGGGTTAATGCAGCAAATCCCCTCCGTGCAACATAGAAATGTGCGCGGGATTCTTGCATTCAATTAATGCGTGTGCGAGTATAGAAAGCATCGCCGCGTCGCCGCTGCTGACCATCCTCGTCGCCATCCCAATACCCATCTCCTTCTCCATCTTCATCCCTATCCCTATGGCCATAACCATGACCATCGTCATCATCACCTTGCCGGCGCTGGGCATTATCCAAGTAAGAGCTCACGCCCGACTGAGCGCCCAACGAAGCTGAAGACCACGGTGCGGATGAGTAACGCTGCCTGCCATAAGACCAAGGATGCCGACGGGAATTTGTGCCGGCATACGGGTTGTAGTGGTGCTGATAGTAATCGGACCCCGAGTCCGATTCAAAGTCGGGCCGGGACGAGTGGTCGATGTGTGCGGTGCGATTAGGATAGAAATCGGAGTTACTGGAGGTCTGAGGAGGAGGTCTGCGCTGCCCGTAATTATAATCATCGTCATCATCCACGATGTGGGGACGATAATCATGGGGTTTTGGCTGAGGGTACTGCGACTGGTACTGCGGCCGTTGGGGTTTATTAGCCACCTCCGAGTGAACGCCGCTGTAGGGCGATTGCAGGACGACCGTGGGCGTAACAATGGAGGGCGGCGGTATGCTGGGTGGCACGACGGCCGGAACTAAAGCAGCCTGCTGCTGATTCCAAGATGATGCTGCCGCTGATTCGGTGGCCGTGGTGGAGGTCTGTTCGCGTGAATTCATCTCGGATAATTTGTTGAATCGGTTGCGAGTGCCGCTGGCGGTGAGCACCATCACGGTGGGATTCATATCGGACATGTGATCCTTCAGGCAGTTCTGCAGCATGTTCACGAAGAAGAAGAACGAGAGCAGCGTCAGTGCGTTCATCACCGAGCCGGGGCTTTTCTTCGATTTCTTCGACGATTTCGTGGACGGAGGCGGCGGCGGCGGTGGTGGGTGGTGCGGTGGATATGCGGGCCCACTGCCCGCACTACTGGAGTGAAAGGAGGAGAAGCCGCCGGAGGGTGGGTCATGCGGCAGCTCATACTCCACGGACGGCTCGATGCTGCTGCGAATTTAAACTTGCATTAGGGTAGTCGTTTGGAGTGGGATCGGGTTTCCGGTTTGACTTTGGCTCTTTATGCACAGAGAGAAAAATAGATAGACTGGGGCAGCTGGAAAAGCTTTAGTTAAATCATATAATGGGGTATTATTAGGATTTTAATTTTAATATTTGACAAAATTCTAATCTATCACTGATAAGTATAACCATCTTTCTGTCTAAATTTATAAATTGATATATTTATATTTGTTTGTCGAAAGAAATCTGAGTATAAGGTAAAAGCTAAAAACTAATTTTAAATGTTTGAGGGGTTATCATGACAAAGTTATTTTAACATTAATTGAAGCTTAAAACAAGAGAGAACGCTATAGTCGGGTTGGTGTCCCGACTATCTAATACCCGTCACTCAGCTAAAGGGAGTGCGAACGCTGTGTCGGGTTGGTGTCCCGACTAATAATCGTAACTCAGCTAAAGGGAGTGCGAGGGAGATAGATATATGTTGACAATTTATAAAGCGTATAACTTTTTAATGAATGGTCCGATTTGAAAAGTGTCTTCTACATTTCGATAGGTATAAATATACACAACAAAATTGCATTTATACTTCTTGGAAATCTTTAAAGATGTGGGCGCAGGACCCATTTTAAAATCGTTAGTGGGCGATTGTGGGCGTTAGAGGGGCGTGGCGCTCGGCTAAAATAAACTTGCGCTGCGTAGGAAGCCAAAGAATATGTGTGGGAAATCTCAACCTTCTAGCTTTTGTAGTTTCTGAGATCTCAGCGTTCATACAGACGGACAGACGGACAGACGGACAGACGGACAGACGGACAGACGGACAGACGGACATGGCTAGATCGACTCGGCTAGTTACCCTGATCAAGAATATATATACTTTATGGGGTCGGAAACGCTTCCTTCTAGCTGTTACATACTTTTGCACGAATCTAGTATACCCTTTTACTCTACGAGTAACGGGTATAAAAATATTTAATAAAACTTATTTGGCGATCTCATAATCTTTCGTTATTAATAAATCAAATATAATTTAAATATGCTTGACTTTTCTCTCTGTGTAGGGGTGGCCATTTGCTTACCCGTAGCCGGAGTGTCCGCTGCCAGCCGCCGTGGCCGCATAAGCACCGTTGTGGCTGCTGGCGGCCGCCTGATGCCCCAGCTGCCCCAGCTGCCCCTGATGGCCATGTTGCCCCTGGAACCCTTGGTGTCCTTGGTGGTAATGGCCCGGGAAGTAGTGGCTCGGGTAGTAGTGGTTGGGATAGTAATGCATGCGCTGCGTTTGACTGCAAGTGAAGGGGAGACGAGGAATGAGTGGCCGAGACGGAGATGGAGACGGAGACGTCGCTCCTGTTTGTGTCCCACATTAGCCCGGCTAAGTGCCTGAGGTATCAGTCCGCGCCCGCTGCGGTTGCCTTTTGGGCCTGGGGTCGCTGTCGATGGGAGTTGCTTCCGACACTTCACCATTTGGTCTTTAAGTCAAAGGGTACACTTAATCCTGTTGCTTTTGATTAAGCAATAGATGTATAAGGCACGAATCTTTAGGACAAGAACGTTCCTTTTTAATGATGATAGTTAATAATTTATTTTCCTATATTACATCATTTTATTATTTATTTGTTTCCTTAAACTCAATACTTGAGCATTTGGTTTGAAATATTTCAAAAGAATATTTAATTTCGAAGAAATTAAACGGGTTTTTTTAACTACAAAAAAAATGTAAATTCCTGTCTTTTAAAGTGAAAATTAAAAAATGCAAAAAAAAACTGTGTTACTCATTAATTCCAAGGACTTTAATTTGCTTTCTGGTTATAGATACCCAACATTTATAGAAACTCATTTCGGCCACGGCTTACGCATAATTATTTCCCGGAATGGCTGACAGCAGCGGATGCTGTTGTTGCAAATTCAGCTGACTCGTCATTTGGCCGTTTGACATTTCGTTTGTCTTTAAGGTCACGATTCACAATTATTGCTAATTGATTTGTGGCAAAACGCGCGTATGTTTATCACTTCACAGCACCGTGCTTCATTGTCGCTGGTGTTAAACCTGCCATAAACCGATGGCAACTCGACTGCAGAAGCCGCAAGCAGGACGACCAGGATGAGGAGCCAGAGGAGGAGCAGCCGGAGTAGCAGGAGATGGAGCGCCCAACCAACCGCAAGTGACAATGTCGTTTAGGCAACTGGGCAAAACCTTTGCCAGACACTTGGCTGGCAGGCGGCTATTAACGCAGGTGAACTTGAGGGGGCTGGTGGTGCAGAAGGGGGGCACTGTCATTGTCAGCTGCTAAGTGAGTTTGGCTACAACTAGCAACTGGCAACTGCAACGGCCTTAACACTACTACTCGATGGCAGTGATGGCAAGTGGTTAAGTAGTCGTACCACAAGACACTCGTGACTACCAGATTTCGAGTACTATTAAATATAAAAAATTGATAAACAAAAAACAACTGAAAATCTTTAATTTATTTAAGGATTTTAAATTTTGTAAGAATTAATAATGAAAAGGTTTATAACTTTGTGTTGTTGAATGAATAATAGTTAATTATTAAAATATACTAGAGTTTATTTATCAAAATTAAGAGACCCTTATGCTTGTAAAATAAACACGTCATCTATTTGAATTAATTTTGGTCTTACAAAGCATTGTTGCATATTTTTAGTCACCTTTTTAATTTATTTTCATCACCAATATCAATATCAATATTTCGGAATCAAACCATTAAAATATTTAAAAAAAATAAAATAAAATCATAAAAATACAAAAATACAAAGAATACAAAATACAAAAAATTTTTATATTTCATTTTAATTTATTGTTGTACCTTAAAACAAGAGTTTTACCACTCCCATCACTGCTCATAACGCGTGCCCAACTGCCAGCTGACAATTGCCGGCAAAGTGTTTTGTGGCGACATCGGCCAACTGACACACACCTGAATTGGAGCGTTGCGTTGCATGCCTGCGCTGCACATTTCGGCCAGGCCAGACAATTAGTGAACGACAAAAGGCCGGGAATGCTCCTTGGCTTCATCGCCGCCCACCACCCGCGCTCCCCGATTCCTGTCAGTGTTAATGACGCTGCAGTCGCTTGTTTATTGCATTAAAAGCTCTATGGATGCAGCGTTATGCATCAGAAATTGTCATAATTGTGCCATGTCTGGCCCTGACTTTGCCACTGTCTGCGCAGCCAAATGGAGCTCGGTTCTTGTGGTCCCTTGTGCGGTTAGTCGAACCCGGCTTTCGGCCGTGCCGGGTGGTTCCATTTCCCTCCATACCCCCATACCCACACCATCTCCCCTTTTTGCCCCCGCTCTGTGGACTTCAAGATTTATGACTGGGGCTAATAGTTTTCATTGCCAGAAAATATTTTTATATTGAATAGGGTTTTATATTGGGTATATAAGTGGCTTGAAGAATTTGAAGTTCCACATTAAAAACTTAAGAAGTACTGGTATATTGGAATATATGCACTTAACATATATATATCTTTGAGGAACATGCATCAACTTTAATTTTGAATCACTTTTTTAGGAATATTTTAATTAAATAAAATATATAACCATTTCTTTGTAACGTTTTACTATCCCGAAAGAGCACAGAAACATTTCTATACGAATGGGATATATAAATATAAATAACAAATATAAAAAAATATTTTTAGAAAACTTAATGTATGAATATTTAAATATATATTAATACGTATTTATTTACTATATTCTTAAAATAGATCTCATTATATTTTTTTCTGTTCCCAGCTTATAAAAGAAGTACAACAATATTCTATCATACACCGCACAATCTCAAACGTCTCTGGCTGTTGTCTTTAGTAAAACCGGAAACATTAGACTGCAATAACAAATATTTAACATTTCCGCAGTGCCAGCAACAACGTGAAGGCAAGAAAAACAACATCAGCCAGAATCCGAATCGCAGAATCAAAAGCGTATAATAAATTGCACTGCAACTTTTCCACACATTTCCAGCTTTGTAACGCTTTGATTTGTCGCGCTCCCCCCACCCAATTCGCTTCAGGAAATGTTAAGAAAAAAACTATAGAAAAGAAACCAGAGGACTTTTGCTGATGCGTCCAAAAAAAAAAGGAAGCATATCAAAAAGTCAAATGCCTTGCGGGGTTGAAAATTTGAGAACATAAATGGGGGGCTGTATTTTTCGTGGATAGGGTGTTTATATTTAGTTTTTGTTGCTGGCGCCATTGTCAACATATTTCAGGACCTCCTCGGTCCGAGACAGAGAGTCAATAACAAGTTGACTTGGACATATTGTAGTTTCCAAGTAGGCGAATTGCCACCAACATTTTTACAAGATTTTATGGCCACCGAAATTGGTCAGTAAGCGCCGAGCAGAATTTAATGACTGGAAAATGAGGCATTTAAGCCAAGTGCCAACGAAAGTTTTTCCCTTCGAGTTGTTGAACGTGCCAGATATTTATGGGTCTGCATCTGTATCTCCAGCTCGTTCTGTGTCTGTCTGCGATGGCTGTTTCTGTATCTGTATCTCTCCCGCAGTGAAGTATGTGTTCGAAGGACAATCGAGGAGGCTGGGACAGAAGCGGAGGCATACATTAATTGCCGTGATTAACACGTAGGAGCATTAAATTATACACAAAAGCTTGAGGTAAATCATAGTCGTTTTTGGCAATACTCTTTCAGGACATTAAACGAGGAAGCCTTAAGATATTAACTTTAATAATTACATTTTCAATGAACAAAATCGTAAAGACTTCAAAGATGTATTTTAATGTACCTTAAATATTTATTTCTTATTTATTTGTGATAATCTTGAATCAAAAGAAATATTTTCTATTTTAAAAAACGTATAAGGAAAGGAAATAATCAATCAACAAAAATGTATGCCATTCCTGGTGCAGAAACCAACATACTTCCCGCAAGGACATCAAAAGAAGGCCTAGACTTGGCTACATCAATTATCGCAAATGCGGCCAGTGCATGTGCGCAACCCCACCCAAATGGTGTCTGGGCGAGTGCATAAATCATTTGGCTACATTAGGTCTTTGAAAACCCTAAGCAGGCAGTGCTAAATAAACTTTTTCGGCGGTCTGGGAAACAAAAATAAAAACTCGTTAGGCCAAGGCGAAGACCAAGACGGCGGAGAAGTACGTGCCTGGACTTTGACTTGGACTAGAAGGAGTGCTACTACAAGAAGGACTAGGACTGCCAGCCGGTCGACAGAGCACAGTGTCAAGTGTAAAGAAGAACTACTAATCAGCAGTTAATTCTTATCTTTAATTAAGTGCACGTTCCACCCCCTTGGCAGGCCAGAGTCCTTGGCGTTTTGGCGTTTATGGCAGGAGTCCTGGGAGTCTGGCCAAACTTTTTGCTATCCGCCAACACTTTTGTTTGTCCGCTCTCTCTCTCTCTGTCGGCATTGTCCTGGATCGTGGATCCTTTGGCCTGGACAAAGGCCAGGCAGCTTTGTCCTTTGCCCGTCGCTGGTCAATTTAATGAAATAATCTAAGCAAACACTCCTGAAAATTAAGCAGTTTTTTCAGGGCGCCCGCTTCCGCTTTCAAATTAAAAATGTAATGCGTTCGCCTTTGTTTTGTTGCCGGCGAATAATTAAATGTGCGAAAGAAGTTGCAGCAACATTAACCCGACATCCGGCTGGCCAATTAAAAAGGCCACGCAACAATAACCCGGGCGCTCATGCATGGCTTATCCCTTATTCCGACCCTTAGAACCCCTAACCCCTGATTAACCAAGACGCTGTAACTTTGCTGTAACTCGAGCTGGAGGATCAGATATATCTGGGATAGTCCATAAGTCATTACCCCCATTGAGGAACACTCTTACCTTACCCTGCCCACAGGTAAGAGCGCTTTCGGCCCTCAAGTTGTTTGACAAACAATACACACAACATGGCCAGGGGTTCCTGGCCCAAAACGTAGGAGGTAGAAGGTTTAAGGGCTACAAACAAATGGGGAACGAGGGCCGCACTCAAGCGTGCCCGTCACATTTTTGCGCTTTTACATCACCGTCCCCCCGAAAAAAGGGGGGGTGGGCAGCATCAGATACATGAAAAACATTTTTTCAGCAGTGAAAAGCTGCACTAAAAATAAAATAAAAGATATTTTATTGAAGTGGCGCAGGGGATGATAGAGTGAAAGGGAAGCCTCGGCACCCCGCACTCATACCCTGCGCTCGCAGATTAATTATGCATCGCTAAAATGCTAAGCCAGGTAGCACCAAAGCACCAAAGCATCAGCATCGCAGTGGCCCAAAGGCAAATGGCAAGTGGGAGTGGGATTTCCTCGGAGAGGAGGCGGGACGCTCGACCGGGGGGAGTATGTAAAAGCCAAGTACAAGCCACAACAAAATTAAAATCCAAATAAAATCACAAAAAATGGTTTTGGGCAAATACGGCAGTGACACGGAAGGACTGGAATTCAACACCCTGCGATTCATACACTTACTTAATTTTTTTAACTAAATATAGTTAGTTAAAAATTCATTTTAAATATAAAAAAATTACATTACTCATTATTATTTATTAAAAATCATACATTTAAAGAATAATTTTCTCAAAAGATCCGATAATTAGGAATTAGGATTTCGTACATATTTCGACATTTAATTACAACTTCCAAACAAATTAATTCTTCGACTATGGACAAAAATGTTAATTAAATATTTACCTTAATACCTAAAATTAATATAAATAAAAGATATTGGAATATGTTTTATTTTCAGATATCTTACCTTTCAATGCACCTACAATTTTTTTTTTTTTTAAATATGACTAAAATCTAACGAACCTATTTATCAAATTTTATTGGTAGCATAAAATGAAGCCTGCAAATTGATAAACTAAATATTGGATTATCAAAGGTCACATGCAAATGGCTTTCCATAGCAAAATCCTTTAGAATTTCGCGGCAGGCAACTCGAATCAAAA